CTGGTAGGATGAAGGGATGGCACAGACCTCCTCCACCTGGCCCTATCCTTCTTCTTTTACACTAGGTTCTCCCTTAGGATCACACTGTTCTAATACAGCTAACGCCAGTCACTCACACTCTACCATGTCATGGAAAATTCCTAGCAAGGCTGCAATAAATCCTCCAGGGTTAGATCTACTGTTACGGGAGGTTTCCTTGCTTGCACTGAAACTCCAGCTTTCTGTGCTTTTTTCTAGTTGTCTTAAAGACTCCTGAAGAAGAGGGGGAATGCAGGTACAGAACATACACAGATATGAAACATCCGTGCTGCCCAGGATGGCGCACCTGTGCTTAGAGACCACTGCTGTTATCTGCTTCCAGAACCGTCCACATTGTTTGGTCGAGCAGCTCAGAATTTAAGGAATACATTTGTGTTTATGAGAAATGGAGGACTCTGCGGCCACTCTGCACTTGGTAGGAGCGGGACACACTGACGGGCTGTGTGTACCCAGAGCCCCATGAATGCTAAGCATAGTTTTATACTTTTCTGGTTTAAACATTCACTACTAAGACAGAGTAATGAAATCTTTTCAATGTGTCCAAATTAAACTTCAAAAACACAACTTTAAAATGATTGTCAGTCTGAATTTTAAACTATATATATTTTTTTTTCATATAAACTCCATCACAAACTACATACCGGTGGCCCCAACTTGTTGACTTAAAGACTTTCTTTTTTACTTGATGGGTATAAAATTGACATGTATTCCATAGAAATCAGACTTTGAATTCCAATTCTTTCCTAAGATGCAGTTCAGCCCACTTGAGTGCTCTCTCCCTCTGAGCTGGGCAAAGCAACAAGCTATAGCTCCCAAGGAGTCATGGGACCATGACTGATGAGATGATAAGCTAGATACGTCTAAAGAAACTGAGCTATTAAAGTAGAAACATTAATAAACAAGATAGAGGTCATTCCTTATGCCAATAGTCAGAAGAAAGAAAAACATAAGAGACAACATTTGAAGAAACAATGGGCTTCAAGCAATGACAAACAAATTGATTCTAACCAACCTTTCCACGAAGCAAAGGAGAGGGGGGCGAGGGAGGGAAAACCAATCTGTAAATCCTCCTGAGCAGCACCAAGAATGAATAAGCTCCAACACAGGAGAGGCTGGAGGCCCTGGGAGGTCAGCCTGTGTGTTCCACAATACCTGGACTCACTCTTCTCATGCAAGTGACTAGGATTCTGAGAGACGACTCGTTACTGTGGACAGAAGGCTCTGAAGCTCGACCTAAAGATGGTGGTGTGCAAAGGCCATCAGGGCCTCAGCCAAGTGCAGGATCGGAATTGGAAGGGAGGGCATCCCAGAAGCACACACATATCCCTACCTAGAGAGAAACAGTCCCCAAGACCTAAAATAACTGTCACATAATAACATTTAAAATAACAATAGTATTACATTTGGCACATAATAAATAAAAATAACTCAGGTAGGAAGACAGTACAAGTGAAAAATAGAAAAAATAAGTAATACAAAAATCATCATATAAAATTCAGATATTAGGCTGAACCACAGGAATATAAAGAATGAAGTTTATCATATTCAAGGAAAAAGAAATAAACATGAAATATTTGGCAGAAAACAGTTTTTTTTAAGCTTTCAAAAATCTGACAGATTCTCAAACTAAAAAGAAAGTCATTAAAATTAACACTGAAAGGTAAACATCGATTAGACAGTCATCTCGAAATAAATACCTAGAAAATATACTAGAAGGAAAAAATAGAACAAAGTCCAAAGAGAAAACACAGCAAACTCACAAAAGATGGTGAGAGAAAATATGACAGATATAAGAAAGAACACTATAACACTATACATAATTTAGAATTTCACGGAGGGGGAGAGAACTGTGAAGAGCCATGAAAATGAAATGAGAGATGTAAGCACGCATGGCATTATCGAACAACCTACCGCAAAAGCCTAGACAAAAACTATCAGCGGATAAACACAACACCCGTGCTGACTGTTTTCACTGCTCCTGGGTTGTCACTCAGTCCCACACACAGACACTGCACTCTTTTGGTTCTCAAATTGCATTTAAAACTCGCATCTTTTAAAAAAAATAAAATAAATAAATCCTCAGGAAATATTCACGGAAGGAACAAAATCCTGTACTCCGATTGTCCCTAGCATATATGGGCGTTTTATAATCTACGATATCACTCAGAGAACATTAGGACAAAAATATTGATCATATATCTGAAGATGAAAAGAAGTTAAGATTAACTAATTATTAAATTTAATTTCTAATTTTGAAGAATTATGAATACAAAGTATGAAAGACTCAATTAAAATAAGTGGCTAGGTAATCTATATATGAAAGGAGCGCCCTAGCCTAAGCAATAAATACGCCCACATTCAATAAAATGGCTAAACCTTGAAGGATTTAATGACTACATGCTCAGATATACAAGAACAAAATTCAATAATCAGATCCTTTCTTCTGTCCAGTACAAGGACACCAATTTTAGGTTTCTGGAGAGCCAAGTTCTTATCAGATCTCAGAATTAGTAACAATGTGATAATAATATATTCTGACATCCAATGTCAGGTGTAGGCATATTGACCTGAAAATTACCAAGCCCACCTCTAACAGAGTACATCCCTTTCTCTTCTCAGTGCATCTCCCTGCATTTGCTAGTTCTGGCTGGCCCTTCCATTCCTGTTCCCTCCCTCTCGCACGCCCACCCCCACTTTTAGCAGTACTAGGGAGTAAATCTGGAGGGCTCTACACAGCCCCAGCCTTTCTCTACGTCTTCTGATAGACTGTCTAGTTATTCTTCCCCTCTTCCCATGGGTGTGTGTTTGTTTGTATGTGCCGCACACAAGTGAGTGTGTGGTTGTGTGAAGCCATGCATAGACGCAGCAGCCAGGAGACGGCTACCAATCTCTCTCTACCTTCCTGCCTTGAGACGGGGTCTCTCACTGAACTGGAAGTTCACAGCTTTGTGAGGTTGGTTGGACAGCAAGCTCTCAGCGCCTACCTGTCTCAATCTACCCAAGACTGAGGTTACGACCAATGGAAGCCACACCCTTCTTTTTGTGTAACTGGTGGGAATTCAAACTGCAGCTCCAGGATTCCAAGTGTGCCCAACATTTTTTTAGGTCAACTCTGGCGATTATACTGAAGTCCTCCTGGCTGTAACGCAAACACTTTTTCATAAAACTGAGCCACCTCCCCAGTCCAGACTCACAGTTTTTAATCCCCACTCACCTTTTCAGATAGTAAGGTAATTTTTATTACTACATTTTAAAAATTGTTTTTTGAACTGATTTGTGTTGTGTAAACCTGGAACTGGCTGAGTTTCTGGATTAGGGCCATGATAAGAAGTTACTTAGTCACAACAAGTAACAATTTCTAGCAAGGGTTTTAGATTGCAGGAGTTGGGCCTTAGAGAATACAAGATTAACTTAATCCACAACCCTATTTTTAAAATGATTTTAGGATTCTAGGACTTTTTAAAATTTGAATATCTTTAAATAATTTTCTACCAAATGGAAAAAACATCTAACATGATAACATAAACATATTATGGATCTAGGGAAAGCCTAAAATGTTTATATACAAAATGGCTGCAAAAAAAAAAAAAAAAGAAAGCCTAAAATGTAATCTGGCTTTGACACTGTAGGAGCCAGCCATGATGAGCTAAATGTGAACAGATCACCCCAAAGGAAGTTCTTTACTTCCAACCATTATCACCTGCCAGTGTAGGACTCAGCCATCCATAAGTTTAATGGAGGCCTGAGTCTCAGTAGTTTACCCTGAAGCAATACCAGTTGCAGGAAGAACCATAAACTAAGATTATCTGAGCACCACCCAAGAACAGACCATCCAAAGGAAATGCCTAGCGTTCCAACCGCTGTAGATAGGAGAACCTGCCAACACACACTCACCAGGACACCCCTAGACAAATGTCAGCCAATCAGGGGCCCTAGACCTCAGAAACCCCTTACCCCCCAGCTTTACTACTATAAAACCCAACTCTAACTGAGCTCGGGGCTCTCCGTTTATTCCAATACATGGATATGCAGAGAGACCGAGTTGCAAACTTGCATAAAATAAAGGCTCTTTGCTTTTACATACGGGATTTGGTCTCCTTGTTGGCTTTTGGGGGACTTCGTGGATTTGGGCATAACAGACCACATCCATACTTTCTCACTAATTCACAGGATTTTTGTTTTGTTTTGTTTAGTTTTGTTAAACTTTATTTAACTTTATTTCATGCGCATTGGTATAATGATGTCAGATTCTCTTGAACTGGAGCTACAGACAGCTGCGAGCTGCCATGTGGGTGCTGGGAATTGAACCCGGGTCCTCTGTGGGAACAGTCAGTGCTCTTAACCACTGAGCCATCTCACCAGCCCCCAATTCACAGGATTTTTGCTACCATAACATGTAACTAACATCATTTCACAAATGCATAAACTCAACATAAATCTATAGAGAGAGAAAGCAAGAGAATTTATCTGTCCAATGGTCAATAGAACAACCTTGAGAAGAAACAGGAATTCCTGGCTCCTGGAACAGAACCATTCCTCCACATTCCATCCTTTAGGGTTTGTTTGGCTTGGTGTGGCTTTGCTTTTTACAGCAGAGGAAATCCTTTCCACTTTAATTTCAATACACTAAAGTGGTCTCTTGCTCCTGCTGTAAAGTCTACCATACAGCAATCAAATTGAAAAAGTCTGAAACAGATTTCTAAGCATTTGGTGTTAAAGAACGATCAGCCTGAAAGTCAGCCAGAAAGCCACATCAGCATGGACAAAGCTGAAGCATCTCCTAATTCTTAGAGAGTGAACAGGTCTGCTGAAGTGTCAATCATTTTACCAGACAGTATGACTCAAGTGGGTGATTCCCCGTCTATTCCAGAACCTCAGCTGTGGCTCTAAGCTGACAACAGTTAGCAAGGCCGTGTGGAAGAGATGGGCATGATTTAAAAGCGAGCACGTGAGGTACTAGCCTGTCATAGGCGGCGATCATGAAGTTGAGGAGGAGGCTGATGGACTGCCCCACGCTTATTTGGTAGGTGGAAGGAAGGCGCTTGTTCAGCTGATAGTAGATGGAGGAGATGACGGTCTCGAGGCGGGACACGCTGATCTCAGTGCTATGGTCCAGTGTGTTAAGGCCATTGTCTCGGAAAGCTTCAATCATGTTCCAGATATCAACGAGATGAACTAAACCAAAGAAAATAAACTGTCAACAATTTTAAGGCACAGTGTCACCCCACAGTGGACATTTAAACTAATCAACTAATTTTTTAAGCTGAAAATAAAGAAACTCAGCTGGGAGTGGTGGCGCACACCTTTAATCCCAGCACTTAGGAGGCAGAGGCAGGTGGATCTCTATGAGTTTAAGGTCAGTTTGGTCTACAAAGCATATGCCAGAACAAGGCAGAGCTACATAGAGATATGCTAACTCAAAAAAGAAAGGAAGGAAGGAAGGAAGGAAGGAAAAAAGGAAGGAAGGAAGGAAGGAAGGAAGAAAGGAAGGAAGGAGGGAAGGAAGGAAGGAAGGAAGAAAGGAAAAGGAAAGGGAAGGGAAGGAAAGAAAAGAAAAAAAGAAAGGAAGAAACTCTTTAGCCAACACTGAGAAACCCATTCCATGACAGGATACAGAATGTTCTCTGTGGACATCAAGGAGTTACCCCAGAACAGGGCTGACCCTGAGACTTCATTCAAGTAACTAGTGTTTCAGATCTTTATAAGTAGTGACTCTGTTACCTTCATCAGTTGATGATATGAAAGGAAAAATAAAGCAAGAATTACTCATAAGAACCTTCCTCTTTTAAAACACAATTTAGACACATTTATTTAAGTGTAGGGCTATTGATAGGCAGGTGGGTGGATATGTGCACGCCACAGCACACATACAGAGGTCAAAGGATGATGTTTAAGCGTTGCTTCTCTCTTTCCACCCTGTGGATTCTGGGGATTCAACTCGGGTCATTCATCAGGCTTGGTGACAAGTGCCTTTAACCACTGAGACAGCCCAATTTTCAGCTTGTTTAGCAATTTGCTACATCATCCTGAATCACCTTTATTTTATAATATCAGTCTGGCAACTTCAGCGATATTTTACATCTCAAACTACTCTCTATGGCCAAGAAACTGGAAGTGATTGATGATCAGAGAGTAAGAGCCCTTACTATGCACATGAGGACCTGAGTTCAAATCCCAAGCACCCATGTAAAAGGCCAGGTATGTCACAACCAGGTATATGCTCCTGGCCAGGTCCTGCACAGCTTACACCAGGGTCTAGTCAGACAAAGACTATTGCAGAAAACCACAACCAATCAAAGTGCAGAGGAGAACAAGGGATCGTGTGTGGCAGTCACAACTGATACACCTACAACGTAACTCAGAGAACAGCACAGAAGAGGGGGTGGAAAGTCTACAAGAGTCAGAGGACCAGGAAGTCTGCTATGAGAGTGTGTCTTCTAGCTAGGACAGGAAACTACATCATGAAGTCTCAACAACATGGCCGCTCAAACAAGACCTCAACAAGAACAACACCAAAAGACATGCCAACATGGAAGAAAAAATCTTATGGGGCCTGAACCCTGGACAAAGAACTATAGACAACTAAGGAACCCAGAAACAGGAGAAATCGTCCCAAGGAACGAGCCCCAGCTTGGTTATCTGACACCAAGTACTCAGCTCTGAGACATATAAACACAAGAAACATACAGACTGGGCAAATTGTATTTACATATTTAGGAATACATACACACACAACCACACAACCACAACAGCAACAATTAAAGACAACAAGACAGAGAGACAGTAGGAGGGTACATGGGAAAAATCAGAGAGAGGAAAGGGCAGGGGGGAATAAACTCAATAAAGAACGTATGTATATGCATGTTTTGCCTGCGTGTACACCTGTGCATGAAGAGCACGCAGTGTCCACAGACGCCAAAGGACAAGCAGGAGTCCAGTCCCCTAGAACTGAACCTACAGACAGTTGTTAGCCATCATGTGGGTACTGGGAATAGAGCTCAGGTTTGCTGGAAGGACAGCAAGTGATTTTTAACTTCTGAGCCATCTCTACACCCACAGCGGGACTTACTGTAAAGCTATAATGACGGCGATCAGTTGATGATCCTCCTGGATTCCCCAGGGAACACAGAAGGTTGTCCATGGATGTTCTCACAACACTACTAGGAACCATCTTCTACTCTTTTCCTTTTTAAAAAAAATTGATATCTTTACTTTTATTGTACGAATGTTTTGCCTTGCATGTATGTTTATTCGCCACATGTGTGCCTGATCCCTGTGGAAGTTAGAGGGGGGCATCAGATCCCCTCGAATAGGAGCTACAGGTGGCTGGGTAGCCACTGTGTGGGTGGTGGGCGTTGAACACAGGCCCTCTGCAAGAGCAGCCAGTGCTCTTAACCACTGAGTCTTCTCTCCACCACTATACACGTCTCCTAATGAATGAATGCAGATCTTCAGCAGTAGAAAAAGGGTTGACTTTTCAATAAGAAGTATAAAGGCAACAGAAACAGACACAGACAACACTGAAAGTTAATTCCATTTATTCTGTACATCCACACACAGAAAAACTCACAATAGAATTACAGTACTTGGACAAGGAAAGGAATAAAATTTTTAGAACATTACTATGGTGATTTGAATAAGAATGGACCCATAGGCTCATATATTTGAATGCTTGGTTCCAGGTTGGTAGAACTATTTGGAAAAAATAAGGAGGTTTAGCCTTGTTGGAGGAGGTATGTCACTGGAGGTGGACTCTGAAGTTTCAAACACCCATGTCGTTCTCGGTTAGCTCTCTCTGTCCCATGCTACAGATCAAGATGTTAGCTCTCAGTACTGCTCCGGCATCATGCTTGCCAGTCTGCTGCCATGTTCCCCACTGTGATAGACGTGCCTTTAAAACTGTGAGCCTCCAATAAACTGTTTCTTCTATAAATTGGTTTGATCATGGTATCTTAGCACAGCCACACTCTACACACATCACACTCTCCAAGAATAATTATGGGAAAAATTACAAAACCTTTCAAACAGTCACCCTAAGACAGCAGTTTTCAAACACTCTGGCCACAACCCACACTCACCACACATAGATAGATAGATAGATAGATAGATAGATAGATAGATAGATAGATAGATAGATAGATAGATAGATCACATTATGTAGCCCTGGCTGTCTCAGAACTCATTTGTAGACCAGGCTGGCCTTGAACTCACAGAGCTCTACCTGCCTCTGCTGCCCCAGTGCTGGGATTAAAGGAATGCACCACCACCGCTCAGAAATATTTAAACTCAGTCTCCCTCTCTCCCTGTTACTCATGCACATGCACACACACATCTAGATACACAAGTCTCAAAAGCAGTTTTTAAAACCTCCCTAGCTGCGCTCCGATAGCTTCTTTTTCTCTATTCTTTCACATTATTCACTTTATATTAGTTACAGCCCATCAAAGTGACTTCATGAAGCACCAATCATCCACAATCTGAAAATTAACAGTTTAGAAATGACAATGAAATAAACATGGCTGAAATCCAAGAGGACATGACAAGCTCTAGGAATTTAGGATTTATAAGTCTTTCTTTTTTTTTTAAATTGAGACAGGGTCTCATTATGTAGCCCTAGCTAGCATGGAACTTGATATGTAGACCAGGTTGGCCCTTGAGTTCACAGAGATCTGCCTGCCTCTAAGGTGTGCACCACCACACCCAGAACCTGGCAGGATATTTCTTTTCTTTTTATTTATTTGTTTGTTTGTGTATATAGGTGTTTTATCTGCATGGACATCTACACACCAGAAGAAGGGATCAGATCCTACGGGATCTGATGTTATAGACATTTGTGAGCCACCATGTGGGTTCTGGGAATTGAACTCAGGACCTCTGGAAAAGCTCTTAATCACTGGCCATCTCTCCACTCACCCAACCCCCTTTTTGGGGGGAGGGAGGAAGATTTTCAAGACAGGGTTTCTCTGTAGCTTTTGGAGCCTGTCCTGGAACTTGCTCTGTAGACCAGGCTTGATCCACCTGTTTCTGCCTCCCAAGTACTGGGATTAGAGGTGTGCACCACCGCCACCACCTGGCTCCACCCACCCCCTTTTAAAAGATTTACTTATTTATGTACACAAGAAGGATTTTTAAGTCCCCAGAAGGGGAATCAGATCCTATCACAGGTGGTTGTGAGTCACCATATGGTTGCTGGGAAATGAACTCAGGGCCTCTGAAAGAGCAGCCACTGCTCTTAACCGTTGAGCCATCTCTCCAGCCTGAATCACTTGTTTTTTGGGTTTTTTTTAATCTTTTTTTTTAATATTTATTTATTTATTATGTATACAATATTCTGTCTACATGCATGCCTGAAGAGGGCGCCAGATCCCATTACAGATGGTTGTGAGCCACCATGTGGTTGCTGGGAATTGAACTCAGGACCTTTGGAAGAGCAAGCAATGCTCTTAACTGCTGAGCCACCTCTCCAGCCCCTGAATCACTTGTTTTTAACAAATAGTAAAACTCAGTCTTTTAAAACAGATTTTCCAGGCTGGAGAGACAGCTCCGTGGTTAAGAGTGCTGGCTGCTCTTTCAGACCCCCATTCAATTCCCAGCACCCACATGACAGCTCACATCAAGTTTGCCTTAGCCCTGAGACAAGTTCTCCTTCTTTGTAATTCCTGTTCTGAGAGATCTGACATCCTCACACAGAGACATACACGCAGACAAAACACCAATGCACATAAAATAAAAATAAATCTTTTATAAAAAAAAACAGGTTTTCTAATTTTTAGACTAATGTTCTCTCCATTCTATAAACCAGTTTCTCACTGACACATGCACATACATGCACAGCAATCCTGGAACGATTCACCTTCACAGACAGTGAAAGAATATTCATGTATACATAAATTTGTACATATTTTATAATCCACATGATAGCCATTACTTACTAAAAGAAGTTGATTTGTGTTATACAAAATTCGATCAAGAAAATCAAATTTCACTGTATCTGTATCAAAACACCAAGGCCTTTCTTTCAGCAGCTAGTAACTATATTAATTTTGAACAAATGACTTTCTCCTACTTAAATAGCATGACTACTTTGTCCCCTCAGAACTTGTAACTAATTCCAAGTCCTAATAACTGGAGCTGATTCCATAGCTTAGCGAGTAAAGGCTGAGGCAGGCTTCACAGCTCAGCAAAAAAGGCTGGAGCAGGCTCCACAGCTCAGCAAGTAAAAGCACATGTGCAAACCTTGAGGATCTGAGTTTGGAATCTGGAACCCACATGGTGGAAAGAAAGAAATGGTTCCTCCTAGAAGTTGTCCTCTGTCCTCCGTGAACTATATCATGAACATACACACACATGCACACACAGAGAGACATATAAAATAAATAAAAATATAATAAAAGACAGATTCCAGCAACATTACTTATAATATCAATTTTATTGAGCATTTTAAGGGAAACAGGAATATATCGACAAATGCATTCCATTTACAAAGCTTGTATTCTGATAAATATTCGAGATAAAGAGAATTAATTTGGGCTGGAGAGTTGGGTCAGTGGCTAAGAGCACTTACTGCTCTTCCATAGGACCCAGGTTCAGATCCCAGCACCCATGTCAGGTGGCTCGCAGCTGCCACTAACCCCAGCTCTAAAGGATCCTATGCCTCTGGCTGCTGTGGAATAATCGTTTTGTGCACTGTGAAGATGTGTCTTTGCCAAGGCACCTTCTGACTGATTTAACAAAAGGCTAAATGGCCAATAGTTAGGAAGGCAGAGGTAGGCAGGAGAGCCAGACAGGGAGAACGATAGGAAGAAGAGGACTGGAGTTGCCAGCCAGACACAGAGGAAGCAGAAGATAAATATGCCATGCTGTAAAAGGTACCACCATGTGGTATAACACAGATAAGAAATAGGGGTTATTTTTAGTTATAAGAGCTAGTCAGTAATAAGCCTAAGCTATCAGTTGAGCATTTATAATTAATAATAAGTCTCTGTGTGGTTATTTGGGAGCCAGCTAGTGGGACAGAGCTGAATGGCGGAACAGAAAAGCTCCGCCTACATCTGGCCTCTGGGGGCATTTGTACTTGTGTGCACGAACTCGGATGCAGACATACACTTATACACATAATTTAAGAATAATAAAGATAAATTCTTTACAAAAAGACAGAGTTCAACTAACCTTATAGTATGCTTGGAAGATATCAAAATTATTTCATAATTTCATAATTCCAAAAACCCTATCTGCCCATCAAAGAAATAAGAAATAACTTACGGTTGCATCGCTTCTGTACAAATCGTAACTTGCAAGCTGTTCTGTAAGTTGACAGTCGTATGACATCAAAATTCTGAGCACCTAGGAAGAGGACACAGGAAAAGCTGAGCTGTGCTGAGCAGTTTGTTGCTGTACTGTAGAAGTGTGGTTCCACTGTGATACACACGGAGAGGAAAGAAGAAACAGCGTGCCTGTGCACACAACATGCCGAGACATTGCCAGTGTTGTCTTAGGCTACACACGAGAACTCCGAGAGGAGGAACACTCGGTGTCTTTAGTCAGTGAGCTGCAGGATTAGGAAGGGACAGCAGAGGGTAACATAGAAGATGGTGGAGTCAAGAAAGTAAACTCCAGCACTGGAGAGACAGAGGCAAACGGATCTCTGTGAGTTCAAGGCCAGCCTGGTCTACAGAGCGAGCTCCAGCACAGCCAGGGTTACAAAGAGAAACCCTGTCTCGAAGAACAAAAACAAAAATAGGAGGAGGAGGAAATAAACTCCAAGCCAGAATCTGGATTACACAGTGAGACCCATCTCAAAGGGGAGCAGACAAAAAGAGATCTCTAAGTTGCAGCCGCAGTCTGACTACAAACCTGTCTGTGGCCATGCTGCCTATCTCTTTCTCAGCGTGTGGCTGCACAGGTAGAGGGAACTGTAACCGCTCGCCCTAAGGTCTCCTCCTCACTCTGCAGCGGCTTGTCCTTTTCTAAAGTTGGACACAATGGTATTTCTTTGCTTCTAACATACTGTACCTCTTCCCCCCAAAGAACTACCACCACCTCAAGTGCTGGGGACTGAGCCCAGGGAATACGCTCAGCCAGCGCTCTACCACAGAACTACACCATCACACATTTTTTATTCAACCAAGTCTCACGAAGTAGCATTGGCCTTGAGCTTACTTCGTACTCAGCCTGACCCCAACCTTGTGATCTTCCTTGCCTCACCCTCCTGACTGCTGCAATGGCAGGCAGGGAGTATCAGAGCTGGCTGTCATATCTTCCTATCAAGCAGTAAAAATTGCCAACTGTGGTGGCACACATCCTTAATCACAGCACTTGAGAGGCAGAGGCCAGCAGACCTCTGATTTCAAGGCCAACCTGGTCTACAAAGCAAGATCCAGGCCAGCCTGGACTACATAATGGGACTCTGCCCTTCCTCTCGGCCTCAAAAAAAAAAAGTAAAAATTAGATTTGATTTTTAAAAAGTATTTCCTTTCCCTTGTATTTGAATGTGGTGGCTAACAACCATCTGTAGCTCCAGTTCCAAAAGATCCCATGCTGGCTTCTAGACTCCACAGACATACAATGATGCACAGACGTAGATGCAGGCAAAATATCCAAGCACATAAAATAAAAATAAAGTTAAAAAAGAAAAAAGAACAGAACCCAGAGCCACGAAGAGTGGCTCATGCCTCTAATCTCAGCACTTAAAAGACTGACATAGGAAGATTGCCACATGAGCTAGAGTGAGATCCTAAATAAATGCCACCGCCGGAAGAAGCAGCAGACATATAGGGGCCAGAAGACTCCCCACTTGCTCCCTCTCTCTCACCGTGCAGGACCCTGCTGGTAAGAACGTCTCCAGATATGGCCCTGCAACTCAGGCTAGATCCATGAGCCAAATAAACTTTCCTTTTTTACTTAGCCCACATATTGCATTATTAGAAACAGAAATGAACTAAAACATAGAGTTCATATAACAATGTGTCTGTGTTGCTTAAACTATGGTAAGCACTTCAAACAAATTTTTTTCCACAAGAATAGTACACAGGACCCATAGGTCAGCGGGTATTAATCCTCGACAGATCTGACCTCCACATGTCTGCCGCAGTGTGCCTTCACACACACAGAACAGAGTATGGCATGGGCACAGCATCAACGACTCTTCCCTCTTGGCAGGAGGATTAAAAACCCTGGGGAGAAATGGAGCCTTGAGAGAAAGACCACTGAAGGGTAAACTACCTCAGTGAGTGAGCCAGGAAAACTGCAGACAAAATCACAAAGAGAAATGTAAGAGGAACAAGCCTGGCTCCCCCTAGATTTACATCTTAGAATATCTGGATTTACCAACTACTGAAATAGCTAAGCAGTTAAGAGCACTTATTGCTGTTGCAGAGGTCCAGAGTTCAGCTCTCAGCACCCACACTAGGGGGCTCACAACCACTTGTATGTAACTACTGCGCCAGGAAATCTAAAGCACCCACTCGGACACACATATGCACAGTCTTAAAATCCGGATTTAACAACAACAACAAAAATACGGCAAGGGAAAGAAAAATAATAAAATGGCCTGTATTTCCAAGAGTGATTATAAAAATAATGACAAATTTCAAAAGACATCATGTACTTCATAAAGAAGGTACTCTACAAGAGCCTAATGCACCTATATTTTGAATTAATAAGCTTTATATTAGTTGATATTATAACTTCTAAGATAACTAGCCAGGCGGTGGTAGCACACGCCTTTAATCCCAGAACTCGGGAGGCAGAGGCAGGTGGATCTCTGTGAGTTCAAGGCCAGCCTGGTCTACAAGAGCTAGTTCCAGGACAGGCTCCAAAAACTACAGGAAAACCTTGTCTCAAAAAACCAAAAAAAAAAAAAAAAAAGATAATCAAAGAAGAATCTCAGTCACAATCAAGTAAAGGGAGATGAAAGCAGGAAAACAGTAATAAAGGACTAAACTGTACTGGGGAGATGGCTCAGTCAGCAAAGTGCTAGTTACACAAGCACGAGGACCTGAGTTCAGATCCTCAGTATCCGTATAAAAAGCCAGACACGGTATCATGTCCTTGCAATTCCAGTGCCAGGGATGCAGAGACAAGATGCATCCTTACGACTTATCGGCCGGCTAGCCTGTAATCCCTGAGCCTCAGGCCCCAGTGAGAAACTCAAAAAAATAAACAAAACAAAATGCAAATTTACACACACATGCAACCAGTATCTACACAAATACACACATATGCACACACAGGCTTGACAGGACTGAAGTACAAAGTCATAAAAAATAAAATGTAATAATGTTGATATACAGAGGTTAAACAGAATAAAGCAATAATGAGGCAAACGTTGTCATACTGGCTCCCACGCCCCTACCCTGATACTGAAGACTGAACCTGGGTCTCACTGTATGCTAACTCTCCACTGCACTATATCCCCAGCCCCAGATTGTAAAACAATCTACTGTTTATAGGACACGCACGCTAGGCATGACACACAGAAGCTCGCTTAGTTACACTGACAGGCAATCAAACACCAGAGAGAGATGGAAGAGTGTGGTAACACAGTCTAAGAACGGGGTTGTGCAAGGGGAGTTCTGAGAGCTTGTGATAACAGTCCAAGATAAAAAGAGAAGTTTTGTGGCTTCAGTTTCTTCAAAACACGGAACTGTTCTTGGATTGTGTTTTTGTGCCCCTTCCAGGCGTAGCAGAGGGGAGTGCGTTTGCTTCAGATTATTCATAAATGGCCACTGCTATTTATCTGCATCCCCTATGGAAGACATGACTCTCCCATGTGCCTGCCCATCACATGCATTTGCCTCATATGCTGGAGGTCCAATGTTGACTGCCTAGCACTGACAAAAATAAAAATAAAAATAAAGAAGGGGCGTGTCAATTAAAAACCTGAAGCTGCCGGGCTCTGAGACAAACTAAATCTTATATGTTCATAAGCTGATCATCTCGGGCAACAAAACATTAACACAAGCCATGAAATAGAAATTGGGAACTTGTGAATTAGGCAAGAAACAGGCCCAGAGGCATATTTTGGAGCTAGAACTCTCTTAGGAAGTTAATAAGGAACAACTAAACTAATTCTGAGCAAGGATATGACATGAACTTACATGGTTAAATCTAGATCACAAATCTAGATCTGGAAGTATCAGAAGCTTAATGCTTTAGGTCAAAACAGAACAACAGGAGGGCTGGAGAGATGGCTCCACAGTTCAGAGCACTGGCTGCATTTCCTGAGGACTCAAGTTTTATTCCTAGCACACAACGGTTATAACTCTAGCTCTAGGTCAACTTGACATAAGTGAGAGTTACTTGAGAGTCAACTGAGAAATGGCCTCCATAAGATCAACCTGGAGCAAGACTAAAAGGCATTTTCTTAATAAGTGATTGACAGGGGAGGGCCCATCCCATGGTGGGTGGTGCCATTCCTGGGCTCGTGATCCTGGGTTCTATAAAAAGGCAGGCTAGGCAAGCAAGGGAAAGGAATCCAGTAAGCAGCATCCTCCATGACCTCTGTATCAGTTTCTGCCTCCAGGTTCCTGCTCTGAGTTCCTGTCCTGATTTCCTTCCGTCATGGACTGCTATCTGGAAGTATATGCTGAAATAAACCCTTCCCCCAAAAGTTTCATCACAGCAGTAATATCCCTATCTACAACATCCTCTGACCTCTACATGCACACTATGGAATGTCAACAAGGCAATAAAGAAATGTAAAGTCCCAGAGACTCTTAAAAGTTTTTAAATGAGGAGACTGGAGAAATGGCTCAGTAGTTAAGAGCACTGGCTGCTTTTCCAGAGGACCCGGGTTCAACTCCCAACATCTACATGGCAGCTCACAACTGTCTATATAACTCCAGTGCCAGGGGATCTGACCCTCATGCCAATGAACATAAAAAATAATAAAAAAAAATTAATGAAAAAAAGAAACTTGCCTAAAGTTATACATATATAATGTTATATTCCTAAGGCCCATTAAGCATGGGACCCAAGATCCAAACGAGGCATTCTAACTGCACAGCCTGTGTCTGAGGGGCAGATCCAGGAAACAATTATAGAGCCAGTCATGGGCGCACACACCTATAATCCCAGCAGTTAAGAAGCTGAGACAAGAGGATGGTGAGTTCAAAGCCAGTGAGGACGACTCCTGGTGAAAAGGGGTAAGACAGGAGGGGGATGGGAGAGACAGTGCACAGGTCTCATGGAAGCTCAGCTGCACTTTGTTTCTTTGGGGTGAGACAGAGAGAAGCGCCTGCCTTAAATAACTAGCAATCTGGGTCAATTCCTCTGTCAGTCCCAGCATTTCTTCTCTACGACCTCTAACAGTTAGCAAGCCTAAACCTCTGAGCTGAGCCTAACTCTGCCTCCACTGACTCAGTCGCTACAGATTTAAACAGTGCTGAGAGTCGAAAGATCTTTTGAAATGTCACCTGTTAATTATATCGTAACAGGCAGAACTCTGGAATTCTTCAAGTACCTCGTGGACTATCCTAGTCTGGGCTTCTGCCTCCCATTTCCTGATTCAACCATGCAGTACCAGTTTTGTAACTGGACAGCCAAAGCTGTCCTTGAACTCATGTTTCTCCTGCCTCACCTCGGAGCACTCAGATGGCAGGCACATTCCCAGACCCATGAAATGTTTTTAAAAGGCTTATACCAGGCGGTGGTGTCGCATGCCTTTAATCTCAGCCCTCGGGAGGCAGAGGCAGGTGGATCTCTGTGAGTTCGAGGCCAGCCTGGTCTACAGCATGAGTTCCAGGACAGCCAGGGCTGCACAGAGAGAGAGAAAAAAAAAAGTTTTGCAAAGACTAATCCAGAACAATACTATAAAGGAATTTGAGACCCAACAAGTGTGAGACGGTTGGTCTCATATGGTCAAAGTCACACAGACATATAATTAAAAAACAAAACACTGGGAACCACCCAATTCCTCCAGGCCATGTTCTGGGATTTTCTTTTTAAATGTCACAATATAATTTTAAACAGAAGATTTTTAAGTGGGTAGCAAAGTTTTTTCATTTTGGTTTTCCAATGGTTCTAACGCTTAGTTCTTTCTACTGCAAGCCTGATATCTAGTAAAAAGATAATTTATGTAATGTATTAATTATTAACTACTTATCGCCACTTGCAAACTTATGGTAGCAATAGTTACAGAAAGAGTTCCAAACAGTAGGCATGACTTAAAGTCACAGATATTCCATTCTGCCTTAATGATCTTGACTAGGAAAGCAATTCAAAGCACTTGGGAGGCAGAAGCAGGCAAGAGCTCTGTAAGTTCAATGCCAGCATGGCCATCATAGTAAGTTCCTAGCTACCCAGAACTATACAGTAAGACCCTGGAGAGACAAGTAAGGGGATTGAGAGAAAGAAGAAAAAAACATCAACTCAAGTCTCAAGCAATTCAAGTAAAATATTTGCTGTGGCTTAGAGTCCTCCAACTCCGTGATTATGTAACTTCCGTTCTTCCCTTTCCGAGGCTTCTAACACACAGTTTCTAATTGATTAAAACTCAAAACCGGGTGGTGGTGGTGGTGGCGCATGCCTTTATCCCAGCACTTGGGAAGCAGAGGCAGGCGGATCTCTGTGAGCTCAACGTCAGCCTGGTCTACAGAGCGAGTTCCAGGACAGCCAGGGCTACACAGAGAAACCCTGTCTAGGAGAAAGGAAGGATATACATACATACATACATACACACACACACACACACAACCCCCCCCAGTATTGCATGTGTGGGAGCCCTGGACACTCACGCATTTCTATGAAGAGCTGTCTCTTCTCTGCCATGGTCTTCCTCTTGTTCCCACTTTCCTCAATCATCCTAGAGATGAAGAAAGACATTATGAGCCAGGATATGAAAATGACGACTCAACCAAGTACTTATCACTAAGCTGTGAGAGGTGCAGGAAACCACAATGAACCTTCTACAGCAGCATCAGTAAATACAGTGGGGCCTCCACTGAAAGGTGAGCCGTTCTCCCATCACCTAGCAGCTTATCAAAGACGCTGAGCAGTCAGTACTACAGGAGCTGGCACGTTTAGTTCCTGAGCTAGAAATGTGGACTGCTTTTCTTTTCTTTAGGGACTCATACTTTCATTCAGGCTGCTCCAGACCTCACAATAGAGCCCAGACTGACCTTAAATTCATAGCTATTCTCCTGCCCCAGCCTTAGGAGTGCTGGAATTACAGGCATACATGGCCATGCCTAGCTAAGGATGTCATTGTTTCAACTTGATTATTTTCTTTACAGAGCCCTGAGTATATTGAAACAGTTTCTTCTACCACCACTGTTTTGCATATATTAGTATGTTACTAAATATGATTTCAGATACAACAGAATGAAAACCCACAGTAAAGAACATGAGAGTTTTCCACTTATACACAAAAGATAGACAAAATCTTATGGCTTGGGGGAAACAATATTAAACAAAAAGATATTTATCTCCGAGCTAAGGAGCTCCTCAGAGGGACCTTCCTATCACATAGCAATAGCAGTCATTGCTGACACTTAGGCTGTGCCTCACATGTGTGGAACCAAGTGTCAGTTCCCAGCTACCTGAGAGGCTGAGACAGGAGAATTTTTAGACAACATGGAAAGACTCCGTCTCAAAAACAAAAGCAACAGCATCATTTGCATTCCTCTGGGGTCTATTCGGCCCCCACAAATATCCCACATGCCTGCTTTATTATTACTGCTGCTCCTGCTTCACAGATTAGGCAACAGACACCGAGAAAGCTAACTTGCTAAAGGGCACTTAGATCAACACCAGTGTGATCGCAACCCTCTTGAACATAGTTTTCATGTAATTGTTGTTTACAGATATCTGGATCGCTGAAGTCTAAAAAGCTAGACCACTACCCATTAAACAGACCGGTTTGTGCCAAGTTATCCTGAACATAAACCAGATGATTACCCTGAGTAGATTAAACTGTTATAAATCACTCTCGAGTATGATTAAATTGTTATATATTAAACTAGTACAAGCCATTCTCAAATATCTTATGATCACAAACTAAATAACAACTATATAAACTGCACATTCACGAAAACAAGTTGCCTGCCTGGTTATAGCAAGTTTAGTTACACCCTACAGAGACTTCTAAATGTAAACATATTCCTTAACATCCCGTAAATAAGATTTTGGTCAAGGTCATGGAAATGTTATCGGGGATGTTTCAACACACATCATGGTTACAATTTACCCCAAATTTTTTTTTCAACCAGACCGAGATGTGACTGAACAGAATTCTAAACAGAAAGTAAGTCAAAGAAAAAGCAGCCAGAAACAGAAAAACAATCTAATAAAATCCAGGACTTAAAGAAAAAGCAGGAGTTGGTTCCAGTAGCCTGTAATTACAGAGGGAAGTGGCCACTCAAAAGCTTGCAACTCCCTTCTCCCAGACTTGGTCTCTCACAAGGGCAACTGCTAATACAGATCGCAACGGAATAACCACCATGTCCTGTATGAGGTCTCTCACAAGTTACACCCTCTATCTGCTTTAGTATTCCTTTACTTCACTTTTCTCAAAGCAGAAAAAGCAAATTCCTAGAGATGGCTGAATGCTTAATGGCAGTTTTCTAAAATTTCGTTTTTATTTCCAGATTAATCGTGGGACGCAATCTATATCCTGGGTCATCTAGATGGCCCAACTGCCAGGCAATTTCAGCACCCACCACCGCATGTAAAACTGCTAGTGGCCAGCAGCTGGCGAACTACAGGACCACACAGGACTACACTTTCTTGGGCAAGTCGGACCTGCCATCTGCTTCTGCAACACAGCCACACCTAGCCAGTTCTGTTTCCTTTTTCATTTTAGGAGAGTATGAGGGCTAGACAAGGTCTCACGTAGTCCAGGTTAGCCTCAAACTTGCTATACAACTGAGGAAAACCTTGAATTCCTAATCCTCCTGCCTCACCTCCTAAATGGTGGGATTACAGACATGAGGTTTTATTTTTGTTGTTGTTGTTGTTGTTGTTGTTTGAGACAGGGTTTCTCTGTAGCTTTGGTGCCTGTCCTGGAGCTAGCTCTTGTAGACCAGGCTGGCCTCGAACTCAGAGATCCGCCTGCCTCTTCCGCCCAAGTGCTGGGATTAAAGGGGTGTGCTACCACCGCCCGGCCAGACGTGTTTTTATACCTGGCCTCATCACTTTATTATCTATGGCAGAATTTCTGTATTCATACAACAGTGGCAGACTACTGTGCAGGCTACAGAGAACTTCTGGCCTCAAAAATCTAAAGTAAAATTTACTATCTGGCCCTGTAAGAAAAAGTTTGCCAATCTTATTTATAGCAATAATAATTAACATTGAATTACTACATGACTGGCTACAATTAGGCTAATATGTGCCCATTGTCAAAATAAAACAACCACACCATGGCCTTTACTTCAGTTCCATTACTGAACGTCCACCCTTGGAGAAGTACTTTAATCACCCTAAGATGCATTACTTGTTGCTAAAATGGCATAAAAATCATAGACACTTCACCAAGTATTATGGTTTATATGTGAATGCCCTGCAGAGGTTTCTGCATCTGAACACTTCCTCCCCAGCTGGTGGCACCGTTTGTGGAACTTTGAAGCTAGCCTAGCTAGCAGAAGCGGTTGCAGGAAGCCAGTCTGAAGGAGTTATCCGCACATCTCTCTGCTTCCCATCTGCAAATACAATGTGACCACCTGCCTCAAGCTCCAGTAATCACTATGGACTGGACCCTCATATTGTGGTCCAAAATAAACCCTCTCTTGTATTGCTTTAGTCAGGCATTTTTGAATCATCAACAAGACAAGTAATTAATACATCCAGCTTTTATTTGTTTTTGTATACTTGTTTTCAAAAGAAAGGTGAAAAAAACCTCAAAGGGAAGAGACGTGGAAGAGAGAAGAAAAGATGAAAACCCAGTATGAAAATGCTTCAATAATTTACATTGTATTGTAGAAGTAAACTGTATACTTCAGAGGTTTGAAAAAGAATGAAGCAGGAGCTGAAGATATGGCTAAATGGGGAGCCTGCTTGCTGCAGAAATATAAGGACCTAAGTTTAGATTCCCAGCACCCACGTAAAAGAAGCCAGGTGAGGTGGTGTGTACCTGTAATCCCCAGTGCTAGGGGTGAGAGGTGGAAGAAGCTGATCTCAGCAGCTCAGTAGCCAATCAGTGAGCTCCAGCTCAGTGAGGGACCCAGTCTCAAAAAATAACAGGAAGAGTAATAGAGTAAGACACCTAACATCAATCTTGTAGAAGCACCAAGGTAGCCCATGCATATACAACATCCCCTAACACACATACATTTAATGATGTGGCTACGATCAATTTATGAAAAGACACTGGAGACATGTCAATCGGAAACAAGGAAACAGTAACAATGCGGGAGATGTCCTGGCGGGCCATCCCTTCCCCAGGTGGCTTACTTACTTTCCTATTGCTGGGAACTGGCGATCTTGCAACAGCTGCACTTTTCCCTTCAAGCTGGCTGAACATTCTCTAGCCAAGAAACCTGCAAAGTTACTCACTCCCATAGGGCAATAGACAGCTGCAGCAGATGACAGATAAGTCCTAAACACCCAGCCCAAGAGAGTTCTGGATCCTGGAATTTGGGGTAAATCTATAACCACCTCAGCCACCAAGCACAACGACACACAGGAAATATGCCTAAGCAGCTGGACTAAAGTGACCACCCAAGAAGGCATGTTTACTGCTTTCTCACATAGCCCCAGGCCTGAACTCCAAACTGCCAGACTCCCCACACAGAGCCCTAGAGCACATGCTAAAAAAAAAAAAAAAAACACTCAGGAAAGCCCTCTGGTTTGCTTGCAGAGAAAGCTAAAGCAGAGTGGAAGAAATCCCCCCAGCTTCTTTTCCTCTCCTCCTTCCTTCCCTCTTACCCCTGCTCCCACGCAATCTCATACTGAAGATAACAGAAGCAGAAAAGGCAGCTGCTATGGAAAACCACAGGAGTTAAAACGGCCAAGGGAAAGGGAAATGAAAAGAGAGAAATAAACCTGTCTTTGTTCATCCTGACATGATCATCTACACACAGAACACCCAACAGAACCATCAAAATCTGCCAACTGATAAGCAATTATAGCAAGAGTAGCGGATACATGATCAATACACAAAAAAACTATCCATTTCCTATGAGCAAGAAACTGGAATATGAAATTAATAACCATTGCATAAAAATGAATAATAAAATTTTCAATTTTATTAAAAAATAAAAATAGAGGTACTGGAGAGATGGCTCAGGTTACGAGAGCACTTGTTGCTCTTGCAGAGGACCCAAGTTTGATGCCTGCACCCACATGGTAGCTCACACTAATCATAACTCCAATTCGAGGGCATTCGATGTCTTCTTCTGACTTCCACGGGCACCAAGCACATATATGCATGCACATATAAAATAAAAAATGAATAAAGCTAGTAAAGTAAGTTTTAAGCATACCACTTAGGCTATGATCCCTCAAAAAATACAAATACTTCCTGCAAATACAGCAAAGCATGTACAAGACCAATGTGAAGAAACCCATAAAACTGGTGAAAAAAATCAACATAAAACTAAATAAATGACTTAGACTCCAAGTTCGTAAATAAGAAGAACAGACATTGTCAGGACGCCAGTTTCTTTAAACTCAATCTATAGATTCAATGGAATCACAACCAAACTCCCAGCAAGTTACTTGGTAAATATCAACAAACTCACCCTAATGTCTACACAGAAGGCAAACACCTAAGAAGAGCTATGATATCTTTAAAACAAATAAATAAATAAAGAGCTGGAGGCCAGTCAGCACAAGCCTCAAGACTAACTATCAAAAGGCAGTCCA